CATGCCGGAGACTGGCCAAGCCAGTCGGTGCCCCAGGAGGGCTGTAGTTTGAGTACAGACTCAAGTCCAAGCTGGACCGCAGCACAGGGGTAGCCATGCTGACAAATGGCGTTCAGTCATTAGTGGACTACATGGAGGCAGGTTGGGGAAAAGATAAGGACACTAATGGGAGGAAAGGGCTTAGCTGCCACAGGGCAATGCCAGCTAAGGCTGGACCACCCCCAGGGTGTGGCTATGGAGGGGAGTAGATGTAAAGTCATCACCTAGCTGCCCTGAGGAGGGCTAGCAGGGTCCTATACTGCACCCACCTTGACCTAACAGCCATCATCCATACATGTCCAGAAGCCAGGAGCTCTCCCTATGTCATTAACCAAGCTGGCTGAGCGTAAGGATGGGTTTTTTTCCTAAGCAATTTCCAGGATTCTACATGTGCTAAAACATTTACCACTTTTATTGGAAAGCTGGCTTCTGGCCCAGCATCGTAGCTTCCCTGGCCCTGGCTCCCTCTCCAACAGTTACCAGGCCCCAGGGCTAGTGTTCAGGCCTGGTTTCCCTGGTGGTAGCCTGAACCCTGGAGGGTTCACAAATCAGGGGTAACCCTTAGGTGCAATAACAGGGTGTTCTGGATAGTTTATGTCAACTTGACACAAACTGGAGGCATCTGAGGGAGGGGACCTCAATTTATAAAATGCCTCCATAAGATTCAGTTTTAAGCAAGCCTGCAGGGCATTTTCTAAATTAGTGGTTGATGGGGAAGGGCCCAGCCCATTGTGGGTAGTGTCATCCCTGGGCTGGTGGTCCTGGGTTCTATAAGAAAGCAGGCTGAGCAAACCATGAGGAGCAGCCAGTAAATGGTACTCTATGGTCTCTGTGTCAGCTCAGTCTCCAGGTTCCTGCCATGTTTGAGTTCCTGTCCTGATTTCCCTCAGTGATGAACTGCTATATGGAAGTATAAGCCAAACAAACCCTTTCTTCTCCCGGTTGCTTTGGGTGTGGCCTTATCACAGCAACAGAAACCCTAACTAAGACAAGTTGGTACCAGGATAGTGGAGTGTTGCTGTGACAGACCTCATCATGTTGTTTGGAGGAGGATTGTGGAAGGACCTTGGAACTCTGGGCTGGAAAAGGCATTGAGTATTAAGAGCTCAGTGGACTGTTCTGTAGGAGCCTGGAAGATAAGACTGTCGAGAGCAGAGCAGATGGAGGCCTGGCCTGTGACGTTTCAGAGGAAAACAAAGACTCTCCTGGCCTTTTGTGTGAACAGTCTGTGGTGTCTGGTCAGCTGGAGCTAAAAAAAAAATTGGCTGTGATTAACAAGAGACCAGAACTACTAAAGCGAAATCTTTGCTTTGCTGGGACAATGGATGCTGATAAACTAAAAGCTAGATTAGAGGAGACCAGCATCTCTGAGGTGTAATCTTCTGGGGAGTGTTCCCTGAGAGCACAGAGAAGCTGTGTTCCAGAGGCAGCCAACATTGTACCTCATGCTGACAGCTGAACTGGGACGTGTGTAAGTCTCCCAGGTGGTGAGGCATGAAGGGGCCAGCTGAGGCTTGGCCCTGTGAGAGGCCAGGAGAGGCCGTTGGAGAAGGTGCAGCCTCAGTGGCAGTTGAAGGAAGGCCCAGAACTGAAGCGGTCATGGAGAGAATTTGGAGCTTGGCAGCCTGAGAAGAGCCGGGAGAGGCCGTTGGAGAAGGTGCAGCCCAGCTGCAGCAGAGACCCCCGATTTTGGAGATAATGCTGTCAAGAACAGCAGCAGCATGGAGTAAAGTTGGCCTGAGCCTAGAAGACAATCTGAGAGTGTCGCAAAGGGCAGAGCCAGAAAAATGACCCAGGCCCCATGGAGGAGCCCCGAAGACTGTGATTGGACCCCAGACACTGGGTGATTAAGTGATTACACTGCTCGAGTTTGGCTTTGCTTTGATCTGATTGTGGCTGTACCCTGGTTCTTCCTCTTGAAATAAGAAGGTATTTAACCTATTCTTGACTTTATAACCACAGCTTAGAGACTGAATTTTAAGAGACCTTGGCTCTTTCTTTTTTTAAAGAGTGAACTTTTTTAATTTGTAAGGCTGTGGGACTTTTTAAGTTTATTAAATGTGTTGTCCATAGCAATGTGCGATCTTGGGGGTGAACAAGAAGGAGAAAGTGTGGCTTAACAGTGGTGTGCTTGTGTGTCAGTTACGCTGGGCAGTTTTTATGTCACCTTGACATACGCTAAAGTTACCTGCGAGAAGAGAGCCTCAGTTAAGAAGATGCCTCCTTAAGATCCAGCTGTAGCCTGCAGGGCATTTATTAATAAGCAGTTGATGGCGGGGCAGCCCATTGTGAGTGGTGCCATTCCTGGCTGGTGGTCCTGGTTTCTATAAGAAAGCTACAGAGAACCAACTAGTACACAATGCTCCTCTATGGCCTGCCCATCGGCTCCTGTCTCCAGGTTCCTGCCATGTTATGAGTTCCTGTCCTGGCTTCCTTCAGTGATAAAAAGCAATGTGGAATTTTAAGCCAAATAAACCCTTTCTTCCCCATTTCCTTGTCTAGCTCTTGGCCCCACCCACTCCAGGCCAGGTTGGGCCAGAGCCCTGTGACCTACCATCTGGTTCATATTTGCAGCCCCTTGCCCTAGCCATTTCTTTGGGGTCTGTTCTATTGTCAAGCAGCACCCAAAGGTCGGAGGCCCAACCAGACATCACAGGTCAGAGATGGCCAGGCCGAGGGCAAGGGCAGGAACACAGAAGTACTGGGTGCTGGCGAGGTTCTGAACAGGGGTTTGGGGCTGCGTCCTGGAGTAGATGGAGATATGCAGCCCCAGAGATGCACAGAGCATATGGGATGAGGCCCTGGGGAGGGAGGGCCCAGGGGACTTTCAGGATATATTGCCTGGGGTATCTGGAGGTTCAAGGGCAGATGAGAGGTAGCAAATTGAGCTACACTGTCTGGTTCCCAGTGGGCAGGGGTCAGAGGTCTTGCCAAGAACACAGCTTATCCCTGTAGGCTAGGGATGGGAAATCCTGGGAAGATGGCTCGTCCTTTTGCAGGACCTCGTCTGGTTTTATGTGATGTTCAACACCCTGATCAAGATGCCCACTCTGGATGGCCTGGGCCACAGTGCCCCCTTTTGGAGAAGCTGCTTTCCAGGGCCCCTTGACTAAGCCTGAATCCAGTGTGCAAGGGCCGAGCCAGACCCAGGATGGATGACAGGTGATGGCCAAGGCAGGGGGCAAAGGAAGACCAGGAGGGGTGAAAAACCTTTGGTCTTGTGGGGAGACACTCTTAGTCAGGGTGAAGCTGGCCCTGGGCCCTGCGCCCTCCTTGGATATTGTCCTCATGACTGGGCCACTGCTCACCCGCCATGCTCACAGGTCACTTCAGCCCTACCCACTGCCGTCACCGACCTCCCTGTCCACCCCCACAAAGCTGGGGAAAGGGCTGTAGGAACAGAGTAGACAGAAGAGCACCTGCAGACAGGCGTCTGTGGTGCCAGGCCTAGTCTGGCAGCCTTACTTTAAGGGACATCAATGGAAGTCTTCTAAGAAAGGGATCCTGAAAGACACAAAGCCAAGTCTAGGGGTGAATGCAACCACTATAGGTCACAGGCAGCTGGCATGAGGCCATTCCACACAAGGCTTTCTGGGGAGGGGCTGACATGTGTGCTCTGCCCAGGGGTCCTGGAGACCAGACTAACCCGGCCAGAGCACACCAAAGTCAGAGAAGGAGCAGCCTGCATCCTAGGAAGGTCTGCCTAGGTGGAGACCCTGCCCACAGTACCCTAAAGACCCACAGGTTCTCAGCTCTGGGAACAGATATGAGTGCTAAATGCTAAGTGCTTCTGGACCCAATTAGTCCAGACTTCAACTGTCTTGGCTCAAAGATCCTTGTTCCTCAACAAACCAAGGAGCCTGTCACCTGGTGGTGACCACTTTGGGACCTCTTGGCTGGTCACCCTAGCTTTCCCTTATGCCCCCCCCCCACCTCAGCAGACCTGGGGTCTCCAAAGACAGATAGCCTGAGTTCTGTTTATGGGTTTGTTTTTTGTGTGTTTGTTTTGGTTTGGTTTTGGTTTTTCAAAACAGGGTTTCTCTGTATTGTTTTGGAGGCTGTCATGGAACTCACTCTGTAGACCCGGCTGGCCTTGAACTCACAGAGATCCACCTGCCTCTGCCTCCCGAGTGCCTCAAGGCATGTGCCACCAACGCCCGGCTTTTTGTTTTGTTTTGGTAGTCTGAGTTCTGAAGAGGTAGTTCCCCTCGGGTGAAGAAGACATGTGGTTCAGGTGAACAGAACGCCCACGGTGAGGAAAGGGGAGCCATTTCCCATCCTGGTCATGGCAGCCAGGAACATGTGAGCCATAAACAACAGATTAGAAAATGATTTACAGGGGTAGGGGGTGCTGGGAGAAGAGGATGGAAGGGAAACTGCAGCCGAGATGTAAAATAAATAAATTTATAAAAAAACCACAAAATGATTTACAATCAATTTACACAATGAAAATGGTTGAAGGGGTTGGGGAGATGACTCAGTAGGCAAATCACTCACTGTTCAAGAATAAAGAACTGACATTCAGACCCCCAACACTCACATGGCGGGTGGGTGTGGTGTAATAACAAGGGAGGCAGTGACAGGGACTCCCCGGAGTAAACTGGCTGGTCAGACAAATCAATGGCTCTGGGTGCAGCTGAGAGACCTTGCCCCAGTTTACAATGTGGAGAGTGATCAAGGAAGACTCAGCATCAGCCTCAGGTTTCCATGCACACCTATACACACATGTGCACCACGCACATGCAAACATGTATGCACACATGCACATAGGAACATGCATATACACATGTAACACACACACACACACACACACACACACACACACACACACACACACGGCAGGCAATATGAAGCGTGGGCTCCATATCTCCACATGCCTGGACTGTGGAATTGAAGGATGTGCATGTTGGGGGCTGTGGGGACAGGCACTGAAGAGATGTGGCATGGGACTGTCTCCCCAGATTGTTCACAGCTGTGTCTTTCAACTCCACCCCGAGAATCCAAACCACACATCTGCTACCCCGTGACAGCCTGCTGACCCAAGACCAGCCATACACCAGAGCTGAATGGAAACTGTGAGGAACGGTGCTTCGTCTCCAGGCACTGTGGGACCCCAAAGAGACATCCAATGCTGACATTACAAGGTAACTGGTTAAACAGAAGACACACTGCCTGTTGAGAGGGGACAAACCAGGATGTTTTTATGTCTTTGTTTATAAACTTTCTGAGGAAACACAAACCAGTTCAGGCCTGGCAGGGCCTGTGGCCTTCCATCCTTCTGTATTTCTTGGATATTGCTCAAGGTCATCTATGAACAATCTATTATAGATTTCTAACACATTTTCTGGGTTGGTTTTTGTCAACTCGACACAAACCTAGACATATCTGAGAAGAGGGAATCTTAACGGAGAAAATGCCTCCATAAGATTGGCCTGAAGGGCATTTTGCTTAATGACTGATGTGAGGGCCCAACTCCAGGTAGGTGGTCCTGAATTGTTTAAGAAGGCAAACTGAACAAGTCAAGAGGAGTAAGCCAGAAAGCAGCATTCCCGTACAGCCTCCACATCAGTTCCTGCCATGAGTTCCTACCTTACTGACTTCAGTGATGGAACATGAGCTGAGAGTCATAAGATAACATAAAACCCTTTCTTCCCCAAGCTACTTTTGACCGTGGTGTTTTATCACAGCAAAAGATACTAAGCTTTACATAATCCCCTCTGGCCACTGGCAGAGGTGAATCCTGGGGAGCAGAGGACAGCCATGGCCATCTGGGTTAGTTAGGACTCAGGTCTGTGATAGACAGGAGGTATGGATTCACTTGGTGTTGGTATGGGAAAGACTTGAGCTCCTCAGCTTGGTCCTCAGCACTATGATGACCCAGGCCACCCTTGCCTGGGCATGTGTAGAGGCCTCCAGGGCTTGGGGCCAGGCGGGAAGAGGCTCACAGGACCAGCTGGGGGTGAGTGGTGCTGCTGAGAGGGATTGGAGGTCCCTGCTCTGGGCCCCGGCTTTAGGCCCAGCAGAGCAGATGGTTTTCTTTACTCAGAGAGAGCCAGCAGCCAGAGGGGGGACTGGGCAGCTGGCCTCCCTCCATTCTTCCGTTTTAATAGTTGTTTTTTGCTGGAAAATCCATTTCAGAGTCCCTCTGGGCTCTGACCCAGAGCAGTGGGGAGCAGAGGGTGTTTCCTGGCCTCCTTGGGCTCATTCTGGGATCAGTGTGAAGCCAGACTAGTGTGGCCTCAGGGAGAAGAGCCTGGCCACTGCTGTGCCCCTGCTCAAGCTGCCTCAGAATGTTCACCTCTCCCAACTACTGGCCAAGCCGAGGGGTGGAGGGAGGCTGTAGAAGTGCATAGGTACCCAGTCCCTGAAACTGGGCCTCCTGTCTACCCATCCTCGGGTCCTGGTTTGCTCCTTGTCCAGCCCGCCCAAACTGCCCTGGGCCTGAAGAACCACCTCTCACTCCTGTTCCAGGGACTCAAGCTCTGTTCTTGCTGCCACAGGACCCTTGCATGCCCTACCATTCAGGTATCCTGGCCCACATCATCAGTCTTTTCTAGAACAGCTGTTACCAAGAAGCCTAAATACAAATCAGTCCAGTTTTTGCCCCACGTTCTGTACTTTTTGATCCTGCTTGAACAAACTTCCCTCTCCGACAGTCGTTCCATGGTTCTGCCCACTGACAGGTGAAGCTCTTTTATCTGTGCCCCTTGCTCACAGGTGTGGGTACACGTGCCCGCAGCATGCAGAGGACAGAGCAGAATCTCAGTTGTCTTCTTCCATCACTCTGCTCATGACGGGTCACTCACAGAACTGAAAGCTCCCTGCTTTGCCTAGGCTTGCTCATCAGCAAGCTCCCCAGTTCCACCTGTTTGTCCCCCCAAAACTGGGGTTATAGGTACGTGCAGTCATGTCTGGCTTTTTACATGGTGGTGACTCAAACACAAGTCCTTGTGTTTGCAAATCGAGTGTACTTGCCCACTGAACCATCTTCCCAGCCACCACTTGCTTTTACTATACCCTAGTCTTACAATCCCAGATACCACACATTCATTATTCCAGATAAATCTGACCCATTGAAAACACACAGCTGAGCCCTGGGAATGCTGTCACCCATTCACTGAAGCTGTACAGCTCCACACACAAGGCTTGTCTCTAGTTTCAACTATTCCAGCATCCGCAAAGGCAGTTCCTCTTTGGTTGACCTCCAGGCTGGACCAATGGCACCACCGTGAAATCAGTTCAGTAGAGCAATGCCTGCACCTGAAGTGGGTGCAATGAAGGAAACAGGAAGCAGAACCGTACACTGGCTGGTACTTGGCATGTGTGCTAAGACTTCTGTTTAGTAATAATTTTCTGTTGCTATTTCCTTTGTAGGTTTCTCCAAAATGTCAGTGCAAATGCTGCTGGCCCAGGTGCTGTTGTCTGGGCAAAAGGGGTGGTCAGAGCTGTGTAGACCCCACCCAGTCCTCCCTGAATGTTAGGGTGGCCTCCCCAACTCAGGGCCCTCTGTCCCCTGAAGACGCAGTGGGGACTGCAGCCCTACCTGCTGCTGCCCTCTTCTGGGTCTCCCCAGGACTGCCTGCTCCACAGAAGCCAAGTCAGGCCCTGGAGGTCATGACAGCCAGAAGGGATTCACCAGTGCTACCACTTGAAGCCACTAAAACCGGTACCAGGCATGCTGGCTCTTTCTGGGATTTTTATTTCTTTAAAATAATTCATACAAATGGTTACAGTCACAAACATGATTTTAACCAAAATATTGCTAGCCTACCACATCAGCAGGACGGCACCACGCAGGCAAGGGTCTGCCAACCCCTGCCTCCCCAGGACAGACATCGATGGTCCTGAGCACACTGGGCACTGCAAACACTCCTCTGAGCCACTCGCGATGCCGTCTTCATTTGGAACAAAGGGGTTCATGCCAAAATTAGGAAAAACAGCCTTTGTTGTTTTTCTAAATTATTCTAAAAATAAGACAAGCAGGTAGAAAAACAATGCACTGTGTGGCATAAAAAGAAAAACGGGAAGGATTCATTGTCCTGAGAAGTGTGCCGACGGCCACATTCCGGGGCACGTTCCAACGTAGAAAAGGAAAAATAATCTCAAACTGACTTGCTGAATGCTCCCTCAGGTTTTCTTTTTGTTGACAGCTAAGCAAACAAATCCTTTGTAATGTTCTAAAAATTTGTACACAGACAAGAACATTCGTGATAGAATTAGCTACTAACTTCTTTTGCTTAACGAGGAACGCAAAGGACACAGGACAGTGAGCCAGCCCACAGGACGGGACAACTACAATCGACTTGGGAACGTGCTTCCTCTTGCCCCGCCTAGTGCACGCCCGGGCCAGTCTCTGGAGCGCCAAGGCCCATACTGGATGCCACCTCTGCACACTTGGGTCCAAGGGCATGTGACGCCCTCCACCAGGCGCCAAGGCTGGAGAGCTCCTCACAGGCTACAACTGGTCACTCGTATGGTCTCTATCCGCCTCAGGCTTGACAGTCTGGCCAGGAGAAGGAGCGTGGGGTGGGTGGGCCACGGGGGGCAGGCCATGGGACAGGGACATGGCGCTGGGAACAATACCTTCCACAGCAGCTGGGATGCCAGTGGGGGCCACACTCACCACACCTGGAGGGTACCTGCTGGGAGAGGAGGGCAGACATATGAGGGCATCTTTGGAGAACCCCACCTGCTGCACACAGTCTTTTCTTCGTGGAATGTCAGTGACCCCTGAGGTCCAGAAGGTTGGGGGCAGTGAGCACTTGGTCAGTGCTGAGTAGCATATCTGCCTGGCTTCTCACTTATGAGGTCTTCCTCAAGCTCCATCCCCTGGCTCCTTACTACTCTCTGCCCCAACAATAGTTTCGCCCAGCACTCTTGTCTAGAAGGCTCCTAAGGCCAACCCTCTTCATCTCCTTCCAAAAAGCCCCAGGTACGTGGACTATACCATCCAGCTCAACCCTCCACATTTACAGGGGCCTACATGAAGGTGTATCCCCAGCCATATCATGACCCACTGCATTACAAACTGGTCAAGGTCCAGGTTTAAGCCTCCTTGTCCTAGAGACTGTCTTCTGCCCCTGCCTGCTCACCTGTAGGCAGCCCCATTGAGCTCAGGGTGCACCACAGCAGGGTCCATGCTGGCCCAGTGGGTGGCAGCTGTCAGGTGGTCCTTGTTGACACAGTTTTTCAAGCTATCTGGGATCCGGCCTGGGAGGTTGGGAGGTAGACCAGAGAGAGACAGCAATGTGGGTTAAAACTGCCGCCTCTGTAGGGGTCAGGAGGCAGGCACACAGTCACGCTTTTCTCCACAGCCCTGGAATACTCCCCATGAACACCACAGGACCCTGTGCACTTGAGAAGTCAGCTCCCAACCTCAGCCCAGCACACAAGCAGCTGACAGTACTCAGCTAGGCAGGTCTTCATGCATGAAAATGATACATGTGCTGGGCGGTAGTGGCGCATGCCTTCAATCCCAGCACTCGGGAGGCAGAGGCAGGCGGATCTCTGTGAGTTCGAGGCCAGGCTGGACCGACAGCTTCCAAAACAATACAGAAAAACCCTGTCTCGTAAAAACCAAAAAAGAAAAGAAAATGATACATGTGCTACCCAGCTCCACCCAAGGGACCCCAGGAAAGGCACAACCAAGTGTTACCTCTCCTGAACTGGCATAAAACAGACTTGTCAGTCTGAGAGCAAAGCTACCCACCTGTGATGGCTCGCCGGATTTCGCGGGCTGCCTCCTCTCGCATCTCAATGGACGCCTGCTCACTGTACCATGCAGCATGAGGGGTGCAGATGAGGTTGGGTGCATCCTTTAAGGGTCCCTGGCTAAAGCTGAGGACAGCACATACCCAGTCAGAGAGATCTGAGCACCCCTATCTGGGGAGGTGCAGAAGGAATCCAGCCCTGGGATCTGACAGGCCCTGACCTGTTCCCAGGCTATCTGTGAACTACAGCACCTTCAAACCTACCCCAGCTCTTAACAATAAGGGGGGGCATGGTCTTCCAAGTCTTAGGGGGAGGAACCCTGATGGGGTGCTTGCACAGCCCTGCCCAGCAGAACAAACCCTAGGAGTGTGGGCTCTCCGACACAGACTCTACTGCTAGGTCTTCCAGTGGCTCATGACTCAATTGGCTTGTTACCCCAAGATGGGCTTTGTCAACTGCTAGAACCCCAGAAAGTCTGCTCAAACAGGTCTAGAGACACATGCAAAACCAAACTAGCATTGGCCCCGTGGTCACCTGAGGTTGAGGTTGATGACCACAGAACCATCATGGACATCAAGAGACAAACTGAGAAACAAGCCAAGCCCTAAGCCCAGCCTATAACTGTGTCCAAGGCTAGATATATAGAGGCTCTTCCCCCCCCGCCCCCCCGCTGAGAACAAACAGCAAACCCTCCCCTAACCCAGCCCAGCAAAAGGCCAGAACTGAAAGACAATTTCCACTTCACAGTTAGCAGGCTGGTGGGCACAGGGCATCCTGGGGCATAGGGGGCACCTGAAGGGCTCTGATTCATGCACGTCCAGTGCTGCGCCACGGATCCGCCCTTCCTTCAGGGCCTGGGCCAGCGCCTTCTCGTCCACCAAGCCACCACGGGCCGTGTTCACCAGGAAGGCTCCTTGTCTCATCTGAGAAGATAGGATGACTGTGTGAGTGAAGACACTGGAGCTTCTCACTGCGGTGGTACAAGCAAATCTCACTTCCCACCCCCTGGGCCTGGTCTAATACAGATCAGTTCTGGGAGGGACCCTGGGCCAGTGAGACAGGCCCAAGTATCTAACTGCTGCTGCTGTCTTGGCCAGAGGTTCAGTGCCTCCTGGGGGGAAGAGTAGGGAGCCCCTGTAAGGAAGGGGCGACATTGCCCTGAAGGAGAAGAGGAGGTGGAGAGACAGCTGCAGTGCACCTGCTTGACAGTGAAGTCATTGATGAGGTGGTGGTTGTGCTCATTGAGGCCGCAGTGCAGGGTCACGCAGTCACTGTGGAAGAGCAGGTCCTGCAGTGTGCTCACACGCTGCAGCCCCAGGGCCCGCTCGATGCCATCAGATAGGTATGGGTCATAGAAGAGGACGTTGAAGCCAAAAGCTTTTGCCCGAAGTGCCACTGCCTGGCCCACACGACCTGGCAAAGTCAAGATGAAGTGAGACACACATTCTGAGGGCTTGAAGCTGGCCTCACAGCCAGGATTCAAAGGCCTCAAATACAACTGCCTGTCTGCCAATGTTTTGCCAGATCCCTGAGGTCTCAGACACAAACACTTAGTCAAGGCACCACAATCAAGGGGTGGGAGCTAGCTGCCACACTACAGCAGCCTGCCATTATCAGCAATATTGGTCTGCAAAGCCAATACACAGTCAGCATGGTCCCCTTTCCTGACCACTGGGTCACTTACCAGATGTCCTTGGAATCTCAATTCTGGCCACAAATGGCATATATGGGGACCATTCTGGACAGCACTCGCCCAGAGATTCACACACCATTAGAATATACCAACACAGGGTTGAAGAGATGGCTCATTGGTTAGGATTGCCTGCTGCTCTTACAGAAGAACTAATTTCTGTTCTCAATATCCACGTCAGAAAACTCAGAACCACTTTTAACTCCAACTCCAGGAGGATCTGACACCTGCACTCACATGAGCACTGCCCCCCACCCCGCCCCCACACACTAACTAAAATAATAGAAATCAATCTTGAGTGAGAAAAAATAAGAATCTAGCAGCAGAGAGGATACGGCATACAGTTGTATCTGCCACCTTCCTGGCCCAACACCACAGATCTACACCCTGTGCCCTTGGAGGCAGGCCTGGTCCTAGCATGGGGTCACATCCACACATCAACTGCATGTTGGATACAGAGGGAGCACAGACATCACAGGCTGCCCGTAGGAGAATGCTGGGGACATAAGTCTCTCCTGCAGCATCCATCAAGAGAGAAGGTAATACTCATCAGTAAAAGAGCACTGAGGAATCAGGCATACTTGCAGGACACAGGCATAATTTTAGAGAGGGTAGCCAGGACAGCCTCCCCAGTAAGTTCAAGCTTGTGGGAGACATAAAAGTGACAGAGCAAGTGTGAAGCCTCCAGCAGAGCAGCAGGACCACAGGTAGGGCAGGGCCCACCAAAGCTCTAAGACCTTCCCAGCAACTCTGCAGGACAGGGCCCAAAGGTCAGGGAAGGGGAATAGGAGGGCTTCCCAGCCTCCAGAACTGAAGTCTATGGGGAATGCTGAGGCCAGGGGCCTGTCAGTCACAGGCCAGGAGGGAGGACTCTGCAGAATCTAAGAGGAATGAGGGAGTGCAGGACAGCTGCTGCTGACAATGTGGATAGTAGGGACAAGGAGAAATACCTCCCCCGTGTGAGGGGTAGGGACTGCCCTGAACATGGCTCTCAGAGTTGTGTCCTCGGGTCCCAAAGGCCGTCAGCCAGCACCATCCCAGCTGACATCCCTAACAGACAACCATTCTAGATATAAATGTCCTTTACTTTAGTCTCTACCAGTCCTTTCTAGATGAGATCTACATACCACAGAAGTTAAACAGATACAAGAAAACAAGCAGATCCACAGATGGCCCAGATGGGGGGATCAGCTGAAAGGACTTTTGACAGCTGCTGAGAAGATATGTCATAGGCGCATGTGATAAATTTGAGAGGACACTGAACTCCAGCAGAGA